CTTCATCAACCATTAACAAATCAATTGTATTCACCATCGCCTCGACGGAGGAGCAATTGAAAACCGACAATGGGCATTTGCAGTTAAGGGGATTTCTTAACGCTGAATTATCAAGATTTGAGGCGTCGTCTACAATACGCGGAGTAACAAGTAAGAGTAAGAAATTGACCAATCACAGTCGAATGTGAGAAAAATAATCGACTGTGATTGGTCAATTTCTTACTCTTACTTCTTACTTCGTGTATTGTAGACGGGCCTTGATACCGTGCAGGGTTTCACGCATTGGGCACAACACCAAATTAGGGTGAAATTAGGTGTCTGACTAATTAAACAAAGATATCGCCTCTGGAATCTCGCTATACAACCCATCATCAAAGCTGAAGTCGAACAAATAGCTCAGGACGGCATTATATTAGGTGTTAAACTTAATTCCTATCGTTTTTTCGTCTCGAAAAACGATTTGTTCGAAGGGAAGATGAATGAATACCTTAATCAAAGTGTGGCGACTCGCCACTAGAGGTCCACGGGACTCACTCGGTTCGCGTAAGCGCCTCACCGCGCGAATTTTTCTTTAAATAGAATATCATTCTGGATTCATTCCAGGCGTCTAAGGCAAGTCCCCCACTACATCGCCTTACTGATGAGACATGTAGTATGGGACCAAGACGAAACGCTGCGGCCGACTCCAAAGCTTCGAGTCAGGCCTTCTTGGTGGACATATCCACAAAAGTAATTTCCTCCATGTTCTACTACTTTTAAAAGAGTCTTTAAAAATTAATGGTAACAGGACACTCCAGCATCCCCGTAAGTCGGAGAATCTTCATTTCAAGAAATATTTTTTTGTTTACCTGTTTATCTACATATGATATATGATGTAAATATGATGGTGAAACCGGTCCTTTGTATATAATATATCATGAGTATAAAAGATTTGATATCAACAACAGGCGCCAAGTTAAATTTTATCTATCAAATTAAAAAGTAAAACACAAATAGTACTGTTTCTTATTTATACAAGCTTACGTTTCTAAAAAAAGGTAAAAAAAGCGCTAAGCGTGCGTGCTTTTCGTAAAAATTATTTGGGCCGGTTTCACCAACGCCAATTACCTAATTCGCCATGGAATCGCGTTTGCTGTTTAGTGGACCACTTATGGTTGACACTTATGGTTGTTTCGACTTAATCGGGTTGGTGAAACCGGTCCTTTGTATATATTACTTAACTCTAATGATATGTATCATTCATATAAAAGATTTGACATCAACAAAATTGGCGCCAAGTTAAATTCCATGTAATTCGGATACTAAATTAAATAAATAATATTGACTTTAATGATATGTATTGTGGCGACTCGCCACTAGAAGTCCACGGGACTCACTCGGTTCGCATAAGCACCGCGCCGCGCGAATTCCCTTTAAATAGAATATCATTCTGGATTCATTCGAGGCGTCTAAGGCAAGTCCCACACTACGTCGCCTTACTGATGAGTCTAGTAGTGTGGGACCAGGACGAATCCGTCCCGCAGAGCGTGCACACGAATTGGATAGAGTTCGCGCGACAGTTAGGAACGATGGGTCGAATCTCATTTGATCGTAGATTACTAGCCAAAGATCACGACGACATTCAATTTCACGGATTCTGCGATGCAAGTGGCGTCGGATATGGCGCTTGTTTGTACATACGGTCGTGTGGGAAAGATGGAGACCCGACTATCAGACTGGCGTGCGCTAGATCTAGAGTCGCACCGTTGAAGACGGTCACTATACCGCGTTTAGAATTGTGTGGCGCGTTGCTATTGGCACGATTGTACCGCGAGGCGAAAGAGGTAATGGGTATCATACCCAACGACGTAGTATTCTGGTGCGATTCGACAATAGTATTGCATTGGATAAAAACGCCACATCTACTCAAAACGTTTGTAGCGAATCGGGTCGCAGAGATAAGAGAGATTACCAACCCGAACGCCTGGCGCCATGTAGGTTCGAACGATAACCCGGCCGACGCAATTTCGAGAGGTCAACTACCTCGAATTTTCGTGCAGAATAAAATATGGTTCGAAGGACCTTCGTGGTTAAAGCGAGAAAAAGGCGAGTGGCCTAATGAGATCACGCAATCGATACAAGTGCTAGAATTGAGGAAAAACATTTGCTTGGTGACGGCGTCCGATAACCTCGAGATGTTTAAAAAATATTCATCGTTTTCCAAACTACTTCGAATCATCGCGTATTGCCTACGCTGGCGACCTAACAATAAGTGGTCCGGAACATTATGTGCGACAGAAATTAGCGAAACAGAAATACGGTTATTAAAAATGCTACAGGCCACGCGATTTGCCAACGAAATTAAAACGGTTAATGAAAAAAAGGAGCTACCCGGGAAAAATAGATTACTTAGCCTGAGTCCATTCGCGGATGAAAACAGTCTCTTACGGGTAGGAGGACGTCTTCAGAAATCGCAATTGACCTTTACGCAGAAGCACCCAATCTTGCTCCCTAGCCAACATTGGTTAACTGATCGTATCATTCGAGAAACGCACGAGACTACCACGCGGACATTCAATCGACACTATATTTTCTGCGACAAAGATTTTGGATACTCGACGGAAAAAATCAGGTGCGAAAAATTGTACGAGCCTGTATACGCTGTTTTCGTTTCAACGCGAATACCGTCGAGTACAAAATGGGGAATCTCCCGACAGCTCGTGTCTGCGAGGCAGCGCCTTTCACTAATACAGGCATCGACTTCTGCGGGCCTTTCTATATCAAAGAGAGGAAACACCGCAACCGAGCAAAGGTAAAGACTTACGTGTGCGTATTTGTCTGTATGACCATAAAGGCGATACACCTTGAACTCGTGAGCGACCTGTCGTCAGCCGGATTTCTCGCCGCGTTACGACGATTTATTTCACGACGCGGAATTCCGGAGCACGTTTACTCCGACAACGGAACAAATTTCGTAGGCGCGAATAACCAACTCAAGGAAATGTATTTGTTATTCAACTCTGAGCAACATAAGAAACTTGTAAATCAATTTTCGAATGACCATCGCATCAGCTGGCATTTTATACCTCCCATGGCTCCACATTTTGGGGGGTTATGGGAGTCGTCTGTAAAACTCTTCAAACACCACTTCAAGCGAGTGGTAGGAGAGACTTTGTTTACGTTCGAAGAGTTGAATACATTTATTACCGAAGTCGAGAGTATTCTGAACTCTAGGCCGATCGTGTCTCTTTCATCCGACCCAAACGATTTGCTAGCCTTGTCGCCCGCTCATTACCTTCTTGGCAAGCCACTAAACACCCTCCCGGAGGGGAACTTATCATCTGCTCCAGCCAATCGACTGTCCACCTGGCAGCACATCACCAAGGTGAGACAAGACTTTTGGGCACGGTGGAACTTGGAGTATCTAAATGAGCTCCAAAGGCGCAGTAAATGGAACAAAGATGGGCCGGAACTCAAAATCGGAGCAATCGTGCTCGTAAAGGACAAAGGCCTACCATGTGCGCACTGGTCGCTAGGTAGAATTTCGGTCCTGCATCCAGGTGAAGACGGGATTTCCCGAGTCGCCACCATTAAAACAAGCGGAGAAGTAAAGAGAGTGACGAAACTTTTCTGCCCATTACCAGTGGAGGAATAAGCGAACCTCCAGACTTGTTGCGATTTCGCAGACATAACGATAATGAATACATACGATATATACATGCGTTAGTATAAACATAGATTCATGCGATGAATTGTTCGATACTCTCTCAACAGGGGGAGTATGGCGCGCGTCTGAGCTCAGATACGTAATGTACATAAAAAAAGGGTGTAAATACACACGCAGCGATACGCATATATCCGGTGTCGTCGCAAGAATCAAAAAGGGTATCGGCGAGAACAGAAAGACGCGGCGTTATGTGATCTGGGGCCGACGTCCAGTGATCTCAAATCGACTGCACCGTCAGGGGTTCGGCAAGACGGATTCTTTGTACCGGTGCCGCGAAGACCGGCGGCGCTTGTCACGGTCAGCGTCGCCGACGACCAGCGGCTCCTTAGATCGCCGATTCGACTGATCTCGAGTTTTTCCGATAACGACTGGAGGGGGCCGAGTCGCGATTTTTCAACGAGCGAGTCCGTGCGGAAAATTCATTCCTTCGAGATCCGCAGTCGTGTACGCATCGCGCGAGGTTACGTGGTCGATTGGTAGTGACGATTCGTGTGCGTCGTGCGGTCGTGTGCCACCCTAGGCGAATGCCCCAGGCGTTGTCCACGAAGGGCTCAGGGTGTTCGCCCCAGGCGTTTATAGTCGCGGCTCAGGGCGAAAGCCCCTAGGCGTTGCCGTCGGCAAAGACGTGAGTCACATCGAATGTAGCGCGAGATGCGATGACGAACTAGATTCGTCCGACTCTGTATTCGATTCATAAATACATACTTAGTGAAACTATCAGTGCTGTAAGAGTTTTTATTCCACCGATAATAATTAAACTAATAAACACGAAAGGACAGTGCAATCGCGAACTGTGCTTGCGCTGACGTATCACACAGGTTAACAAAAGAATCAAAATCTTTAAAACTTTTATAAATTGTTTTCCTTGGAATTTGATTGCTTATGCGGATAATATATTTATTATTACATGTGCTTTGGTTAATATGTCTAATTCAATCCTATCTTCTGATAGATTTTAAAATTGAAATAAAGCATGTTAGACATTATACTGACCTAGCATTTTAGTTATATTCCTAAAATTGTGTTGATATTAATAGTAATAATAAGTGACGTGATTTAGTTTTCAATTCCTACTAGTATTTAGCATAATAATTAGATATTTCTTTGTATGCATATGTATATATTTAAGAAATATTTTGTTAAGTCGGATTAAGTGCAATCTAAACCAAAGAGTATTAATAATAGTGTGCCGATAAGATTATAATTTGATGTTTATAATTTTTGTAATGTTCTAAAATTATGTATAAAAATAATTTAAATATTCAATGTTCTATTTTCTTTGGCTTCTTTACACAAGCAGTGCAGAATTTTTGACATGTAAACGTAACGAACATTAGTTAGCATATCAATGGCAAAATTTTCATCAAATGTAATTTTCAGAATATACAAGGATTTATCGAATGATGAATAAAGAACAAAATGACAGCTCTGAATGTTGAATATAAGTAAACCCAATTGAATTTGTATGAATGTGTCTTTTTAAGAGAATAAGCTTTTTCCTAATAAGTGCAAAAGTTTAAGCAATCATTAATTGTTTTCGTTTTTTCCTTCATAAGGACATTTAATTTCTATTAATAACTCTGGGCCATTTGCTCCAAAAACAATTCCGTCTGGCAAATATCCAACCCAAGGACATTTAGGATGAACGACAAAACCGCATTGTTTCACTTTTCGACCCATAACGTTTTCATATTCTTCTCTTGCAAATTATTCTTGCATCTATCCATGTTTTACATACTTATTTTTAACTTTTTTTGTCCAAAAATAGGATTTCGATTTTTCTCTCAATTTGGCTTACATTTTTGGCATAAGTAAAAATATTGTAAATTCTTGAACGGGACATCCTCACTTTCCTTGCTTCATTCCATGCTATACGAGATTTTATTGTATCGTAACATAATTTGGTAGCATCTGATACTTGTAAACTATTGGCTTGTACTTCTATTGGAATTTTGGCATCTCTTGTCTTTTCATTGCGAGGATTTATTGATGTACCACGCCCTCGTTTATGTAACGATACTGCATCATTTGGTTTTAGATTACAGAGTCTGTCAAATAAATCAGGTACATTTATTTTGATATTATTGACTTTTTGAGAGACAGCAAAATGATGTGATTTCAGCAGGACTAAATTCATCCTGTATGGTATTTTTTTATGAATTACAAATGCATTTTAAATCGGCGCAAGACAAAATGGCTTCCAATTTCAAAATATCATTCCTAAAAAACATTTATTTAGTTATTTTTTAAGATAGTTTTTTTCGAATTTTTAATATAATTTATAATATAATATCTTATTGATTTAACATTTTTGATTGATTTTATTGTATAAATAATTTAATATACATATCTTTCCAAAAAGCGAAAAACAGCTACAATATGCTTACAATTTCCTGATAATTCCGCTTTACATAAGCACATCATTTTTTGGATCTTTGATTTTTTATATACGGTGTTTATAATTCCTTCTACCATATGCGGAAATTATTTAAGTGCGCTCATTGCAACACAAGACCCGGAATATGTTTGATCACGACATTATTCATTGTTTTGTGTGGCCAACAGTAATTACTTAGGCATATTTTTAAACTCCTCACCTTCGTTCATGTTCCGACTATTCATATTTCCTTTTACAAATTCATATATTTGAGATAATCGTAGAAACATAT